TTCTCTTTTCCTTTCTTCTTTAGTTATTGAATACGATATTGTCTTATTTACGGCCACACTATTTACATCACTGCTCAGCACGTCCTGTGCTCCGATAGGAGACCTGAGTGACTAAAGTCGCTGGACGGAAAATACATCATCATCATCATCATCATCATCACCTGTAGCATGCACATTCTACCAATACAGATTAAGTATCTTGTAAACATGATTCGTTGCACGATTCGTTGCGTGATTCGTTGCATGATTCGTTGCTTTCAATATCTCCCATAGATCATTTTGGTGATCTTTTCGACGCTCAGAAATGGATTTTAATAAAAGAAACTTGCCTACTACGAGTATCAGTGCTAAATAGATGGAAATCTTCCGGACCCTGAAAATGATTAGAGAGGTTGTAGAATACTTCGCCTTGCATGCAGATTTGTGGTAATTGAATGTATCTGCTAACATATTCTAGCACCTTTCACGACACTCAATTTAGCATGGGTCGCATCAGCTGCCGTCGCGTCGCTTCACTCGTTAACGCATCTTGTTTTGTTTTGCGGAACGCGTCGCGAACTCTTTTCGTCAACGACGACAGTCTGTTCGATCGAATCAATCGAACAGGACCATTCGTGCGATTCGAACGTCGAATAGCCATGCAGGCTTCGATTCATGTATCGAACGAAATGGGCCATGTTCGATTCGAATATCGAATGAGACGGACCTGTTCAATTCGCATCGAATCGAACAGACCCACTATAGATTCGACATCGAATCGAACGCCAAGAAATTCGATTCGACATTCGTAAGACTTGGCATGGAATGAATCTATCGATTCGATTCCCGTTCGTAAGATGTCCATCCCTGATCCTGCTGCCTGCAAGGCAGCAGCATACTGAATGCTACGTGGCAGCACACAGTGCGATTCAATGTCACAAATTTGACAGTAGTTTTGACGAAACCGGAAAGGTCACCTGCCTCTTTGTGTAACAATAACCTGCCCCATACCCTTGGACCCCTGCGCGGCCCATCGGTGGAGTCGCTTATTTTGGTCGCACAGCCGGGCAGATTGTGCACCAAGTTTGAGGTGATCTTTCCGATTCTGTCAAAATTACCCGAAATGGAGGACTGGCCGCGAACCCCAAATTCCGATTGGTCAATCGTCCCCCTGTCGAGGCAGTTGGTTTCCGTTCCCGAGAGGGGCACCCTTGGCTGCTACCACTTTAATTAGACTTCGCTGCACCCCACACAGAGAAACGCCGAGTGCCGCAGCCACAAATCAATTCATGCATAGGCTTGGCAGCCTTTTATCATGAGCAGTAACCGTCTGCATCAATAGGCCTTTGTGAGGTTTATGCAACAAGTCAGCCATGCAGGGGTGCCGAAATAATGACCGGACCGTATCGTGTCAACTCGGACAAATCGTCTCATCTGAAGGGATCTATCTGACACCAGCAGTCTGACTCGCTCTCGACTACAGATTATTCCTAGAGTCGCCTAGCCTTTGATGACTCAAGGCCAAACGGCATTTGGGGCTGTGATGGACAAGATCCACGGGCAAAATGTAGCGGACTAGGTGAATCCCGCCATAATGGCTAGAACGTTACAGTAACTTCAATCTCTTACGGTACCAAAGTCAAATAGAACATGACCTTTCCGACAGAGTTGAAAAGTATTTCCTGTTGGTCCCACATGCTGACAAACAGGCAGATCTTTGCTAGCAACCTTGAGGGGCGCCAGTTCACTGCAGAGCATGACAAGCGGTCGGTCTGCTTACCAATCCTCGCTTTCGTGTACTTATAACTGATAACTTTTCATAGATCTCATCAGGTTTCAGAGGAATATTGCGAGTCATCAGACCCATACCAAGTCCTAACTCGTCCCATAACCTATGACCCGCGTGACTCGTTATGCGAAGCACGTATAAAATCAACCCGAGATTACGCGTTGAACCTGAATCCGAGTAATTAACCAGTTAACCGGCGTTCGTCAAGCCTAGCTGAATCCAGCACCACCGCCTTTGGGTAGGACGTACCTACGGGTCAAGAGAGTAGACGACCAATCAAAAATGGTAAAAATCATGCCCATGTAAGAGTCATGACCGCGTAGAAATTCCCTAATAATTATATTGCAGGATACCTATCTGGTAAAATCAATGCTCAAAGTGGAATACGTGGAATGATTATATAAGAATCAAGATACGGAGGCGTGAATATAAATATTGCAACCTCTCTGTTCAGTAACAATTTCATCTGCAGCAACTTTTCTGTTTTATTTTCCCTTGAAACTATCAAAACTCACCTGCAAATCAGCAGCATATCTGTAAAATGGCATACAAAGTTGCTTTACAAGCAGTGTTCGCTGTTTTAACGGCAGCGGCAACTATAGATAAAAGAATCACTGGCGGCGAGCTGGCGAATGCCAGTGAATTTCCATACATTGTTAAAGTTGGACCTGATTGCGGAGGATCTCTACTGGATAGTACTACTGTTCTTACTGCTGGTCATTGCTCGAGGTCCCTCAAGGATGGTATGTGGGTGGAAAGCCCATCGAAACCGGTAAGATTCTGCCCTATTATATCGATTAAGCGACTGCTTTGTCACTGTTGTCTGTTATACTTTAACGTGGTGAAGGAGCTCTTGAAGGAGTAGCACAAAGCTAATTTATCTAGGATCTTCGCTCTGCAGTTGCAAATATAATTTTCCACTCTAGCTATGTCTCTATCCACCCTTCGCGTTCTCGATTCAAGGGAAATAATACGCATTATCAAGCTTATTACGGTAATGACATCGCTTTATTAAAACTATCAACTCCAATTGAGGCAGACAGGAATATTAGCTATGCGAAGCTGCCGACGAAGGGCTTAGAACCTAAGGCCAATTCAATTGGAATCGCAGCAGGCTGGTATGTGCTGTAGAACTTAGCATTGCAATGTCAGAAAGCTAATCAATAGGTAAGGGGTGTAGGTTCCAATGGCGTTCTCCAAAAAGTTGAGCTGCCAATTCACAATAGTTGTCCGCCTGAGTGGAGGCGGATACCAGTTGAAAACGAATTTTGCGCTGGTGGAAATGGAAAGGGCGCTTGCTCTGGCGATAGCGGCGGTCCCTTTGTCGAGAAAGAGACTGGAGTATTGATTGGTATTTCCAACACGGCTTCCTGTGGTGATTATACCTCTTTCACCAAAGTCGCTGGGCATATCTCGTTTATTGAGGAGCATATGACGCCGGGCCCGGACTTCGTTTTCCCGCAGTCAGATGATGATGATCGGTGCGATGGTGGAAAATTAATTCCAGGACCTCTCGGACAAGGAGAGAAATGCGTTTCAGCGTCTGGAGGGCTTTATGAACCAATGAAGGCGGTCTAGGCATATTGTCAATGTTCACCAGCGTTTCCCTTGAACGCTGACCGCATTGTCAGTCTACAATGTATAAGTAGAGCAGCAACTCCGTATGAAGATGTTCGTCCTCATACTTGGGCATTGTAGAGCTCCCTCTACCCACTCTACCCGGGTAGGGTAGAGGAGGCAATGACAGGCATGCCCTCTTGTCGCGCTTTTGCACGTTTATTAGCTATAGTCATTGAGAGACGGTTGTCCTACACAATTGCCAAATCTTGTATTCTTCATTCATCACTGTCTCATCGCTCCTGTCGGATAATCCGCCCCTGTTGAATGAAACACGCTATCACGGGGCGAATCTAAGGTGCTGGTAGTAACGTAGTTGTGCCTTAAGGAGGAGGGAAAAGGAAGCTATCTAGACTACAGCTTTATGGTGCGCTAATGGTCTGTGCTCACGTGAGTGTCTTAGACAAGTCGTGATGGTGCTGTGACAGTATCCCCCCTCTAAACACCATTCGTCCTCGAATGGTTCTAAACCAAAGTGACAGAAACAAAGCTACCGAAAATGGACCCCGATCTGCTTCACCAGTTGTGTCGCTGCGAAGGATACTCCTTTCACCGTTGGAAGTGGTACTCGTCGTAGGCGGAGGCTTCGTCTTGGTTGAGCTGGGGGTTTCTTCACCCAGGTAGCGGGGCCAGCCTGGTTTGTACTTAATAAGTACT